GAAAGGTCACAAAACTCAAGATTCTGGTATTTCAATTATGTTTCAATACTTGCTAGGGAATCAATGAATAACAATACGGGAAAGTGATTCTCGTACTGCTGAATAACTGTAACAAAAAGACAACCATTTAACAGATATTTAACCGATCGCAGAGAAAATAGTATGTGTATTTCGGTGGAAAAGCACATTCTCAGCCTTCGGTGTTTGCCAGCCTCGGCTACGCCTCGCCTGTCAACTTAAACCGTCGGCCGAGAATGTGTCACTTTTTCACCTAAATACACAATATACTATAAGTCGTCATTCGTCATTGTGTTCGTCATTTTCGCACTAAAAGCTCCAAAAAATGGATTCAAGTGGTTCTGATAACGAAATTTCAAGACTCGTTAAGCAGGCAACAGGCAACCGAAGATCTGTTACCACAGAAGTCCGGCGTCCGTTACGAAAAAGAATATGAGGCTTTTTTACAATGGTGCTCATCTAAAAAAGTACTGGAAATAAGTGAAGATGTTTTAATTGAGCTACTATTCGATTTTGAAGGCAACTTTATCTGTGAAAAATAACATTAGTATCAACAAGTTCCCAAGATTGATTGCATACCTGAAAAAAAAAGTCTGTTGTATACAGGGCTAAGAAATCCAATGTTTTGCAGCGAGAAGATATAGACCATTTCTTTGATGAAGCAACAGATGTTAACTTCTTATTGTTAAAGGTAGGAAATAGGGATATTACTATATTTTTAGTTTGAAGCAGTTTGTATTCAAAATATTATTTTAGTACCACCACCGCAGAAACGCAAATTTATTCCCACCTTATGTATTGTTTGCCCAGCGGTTCTGAGTCTACGGAAGGAATTCGGACGTAAATGTGCGATGTTGCTACTTTTAATTATGAAATATTTTAGTATATAATATACAGGGTGTATATTTTAAGTGATACCACTATTGCTATATCCGAAACGGTTAGAGCTACAGGGTCGGTTGAATTAGAAAAAAGTTGCCTTGTTTGATGCCCATTTAAGCCTCGTTTACAGTGTTGCCAAATTCCTTTTAGTTTATGAAATACAGGGTGATTTCTAAGAAACGTCCAAAAATATTTCATCATTTATTTCGAAAACTATTGATTTTCGAGAACCAATTTTAATTTGAAAGTTTTATAATTTTTTTCGCTCTACAATATGACATCTTCAAATTTTTAATCCGACGTTTCGTGATCGAGATACCATCATCAACTTAATTTTTTTCAATACGGACCTGGATTTTTTATGTCATTGTAAGGAAGCGCCCTTAATTCTCTTTCCAAAAATGACATAAAAAATCCAGGTCCGTATTTAAAAAAATGAAGTTGATGATAGTATCTCGATCACGGAACGTCGAATTTAAAATTTGAAGATGCCATGTTGTAGAGCGAAAAAAATTATAAAACTTTCAAATTTAAATTGTGTCTCGAATATCAATAGTTTTCAAAATAATTGACGAAATAATTTTAGGCCTTTTTTATAAATCGCCCTGTATTTCATAAACTAAAAGGACTTTGGCAACACCGTAAACAAGTCTTGAATGAGCATCAAAAAAGGCAACTTCTCTCTAATTTAACCGACCTTGTAGCTCTTACCGTTTCGGATATAGCCGTAGTGGTATCACTACTTAAAATATACAGCCTGTATAAGTATATTTTATCTCATGCTCTATGTTTGATTTTTAATAAGTCATTATCCTTGGGTAAATTTCCGGAATTTTGGAAAGTAACAATAACATACATTACACCTTTATTTAAGAATAGTAAATAGTTTACAAAAGCTTCAGAATCGTGGCATGCGGATTATATTGAAAGCAAGCCGTCTTACACCAATATCGGACATGTTACAAACATTGGGTTGGTTTTCTGTTGAACGTAGAATTCACTTTTCTACCATGGTATTTATTTATAAGATCTTGAACGGGTTGGCACCGGAATATTTCAACCAATATATAGTTTATAATAGAGACATTCATGAATACTCAACAAGAAATATTAATAACCTGCATATCTCAAGAACCAATTATAGGAGTACAATGAATTGTCTCTTTTTTAAGGGATTCCAAGAATTTAATAGGCTTTCAAATAATGTAAAGGAATCTAATTCATTAGGGGTTTTCAGACAGAGATTAAGAATATTTGTATTGAATCAATAATGTTCAATGTTAGGCAATATGTTTTAGAGAACAAGTAGTTATAAGTTAAATTTGGGTTGGGTATGTTATAAGTACTGGTTTTGGTGAATATCTCGGTGAATATATGGAATTTTGGTGTTTTGTGTAGGAGTGGAAATAATGTTTTAGTGAATACTCTTGTACTTTTGCTGGTTAAGGGACAAATTTATATTGTATAATTTATTTTTTTGTATATTAGGTTAACCTATTTAAATAAAGATATTTTCAATGGGGCAAGATCTGACATTGTAAACTATAGACCTATTTCTAAATTCTCTTTAATTTCAAAGATTTTTGAATTGATTGTAAATGAAAAATTAACTCATCATTTGAATGGAATGATCATGGAAGGTCAACATGGTTTCATGATAGGTAGATCTACGGTTTCCAATTTACTAGTTTATGAGGAGTTTTTGATCGAGTCTTTAGAATCTTTTAAGCAGGTAGATGCAGTTTATACCGATTTCAGAAAAGCATTTGATACTGTCATTCATGGTACCTTAATCAATAAGCTTAGAGCTGCGGGTATTTTTGGAAGCATGTTGAACTGGGTTGAGGATTATCTTTGTATTAGACATCAGATTGTTAAACTGAAAAATGTTTGCTCCAGGGAAATTTTGGTTACATCTGGTGTTCCGCAAGGAAGCCATTTATTGTCTCCATTATTATTCAATATTTTTATTAATGATATACGAGAATAGGTATATTAAGTACTCAGAGTCTCTTTCTTACGCGGATGACTTGAAATTTTTCAGAAATATTACCTCGGTAGAAGATTGTCAAAAGATTCAAAAAGATATAGATGGCTTGGTATTGTGGTGTGGAATAAATGGCATGCAACTTAACATTTAGGTTAAATAACTAATTATTATTATATTATTATTATTATTATTAAAAAGCGAAAATACTAGGCATGAAGTATAGTTCATTTGAAAATCGATTTTTTAATAACAAAATATAGATACCAAATACAACGCTAAATATTTCAACATGGTTGTTAGATCTATCCTTATCTTAATAACTGATTTCTTCAATTTTGTCCATTGTAAAAAATAAACATGGAACCATGCTGTTGTCAATGGGTTAACGTCACCTTACGTCTCGCTATTGGCCAGGACTTCCGTCATTTTATCCTTCCATCTTGGAATATCGTTTTATATTGAAATATCCAGTGGCGGGGGTTTGGTCATTGTCGATTTTCGTGTCCGAGTTGCAATACGATAACACTTTCAAAAAGTTCCGCACGCAGCTGGGTATTTTATAAATAAAATCAGCCATTTTTTTTACAACTGCATTCCCCTGCTTACCGTTGCCCCGTAGACACAGACTCGCTGGGCAGACATTAATTTATTTTATGTTGCAGGTTGTGGGAGCTTGCCGAAGAGAGGAAATAACAAAAATGACAATAGACGACGTCAAAGAGCAAGGGGACATTATTTTAATAAACATTCCCGATTCAAAAACATAATATACTTCTAGAAAATTTGTCTTGTGTGGTCGAGGCCAAGAATATCTTAAGAAATATCTGGACTTAAGGCCCCCACAGGTGACAACTCGAAGACTCGAAGGCTCTTTTTAAATTATAAAAAAGGCAAGTGTATTTCACAAGTAGTTGGGATAAATCAATGCCATCAAAACACAGATAAACGAATCATCCCATTCATAAATTAATATTTGTTGTGTTGACAAGACCACCCATGGGCCAGAGGAGGTCAGTTGCTCGCGGGGTCGGGGTAGGGAGACATCATTGCTCAAAATGGTGTAAAAAACCCCACCCACGCGTTAATATATCTCGAAATTTAATTGGATGAATAAATAAAATAACAAATTGACAAATAAACTGAAAATATTCGATACGAGCCCTTTGTTCTGGGAGTACCAATATCGTATTGGTCGTTTCTTGTTTAACGCTAATGAATAATCCCTGTTTGCGATAAAGATAGCTAGCTACTCCAAACACCTGCCTGCCATTCAACAAGCCGCTTCTGGGCGGTGTTTTGCTACAATCTGCTGTTGCCAAATTGAGTTCAGAAATAAAATTGAAAACGTTAATTAGAAAAGGAGAGAAATATATTATTTAGTTATTATATGGGAGTTATGGGACAAGTGAACGCCGATCAGCTGCTGAGATCTGCTTGAAGCAAGAAACGCAGTACAAATGAACAGCCTACTTGTTAGTTAACAAAATCTTACCTTAAGATTGTGTCAATGTCAATATGGTAGGTACCCCCTCGTTTTTATTCTCATCGGTGACTTCACCAATGAGTTAGCTATCTTTGTTTAGTGAATGGAAAATGACAATGACCTCCATAGAATGGTGCGTAAAAATTCAGCGTTTTAGAGGTTAAGGTTGCAACCGTTTCGTTTTCTTGATTTTTGTGATTTACTGTCCATATTTGTAACTATTTGGAACTAAAGCAAAAACAAATACAAATTTGTACAATCAAAATTCAAGGAAATATTTCAAAATTTAGGAAAAAAATATAATTTTGACATACATGGCGGCGTAAATTCTCCACTCCATGTGAATGTTGCACCAAAATTCACGTATTAAGCATATGCGCCAGTTATGTCAAGTTTACGCTCATGAGAAGCCGGCCTAACACCACAGGGTACTGTTTTTTTGTGGCACATTCTAAGGTTTTTGTTAAGTAACCATGACTTAACAAACGATTGATCTAGCCGCACTAAAGTAGTAAGAATTCAGTTCTTAACATTTCTAATTGTTTGTCAGTCTTTCGGCATGGCACAAGAGCTTTCAAGTAAACTGTAGCTCCTTGCAATGAAATGTAATGCATAGAATATAATTACCAAGTGGCAGAGGCTCTAATTGTTTCTGATAAATGTCATAAGCTAAGCAAATAGGATTTTTTATTTTTCTAACAGCTCCGCAAGCCCCAAACATTAGATTCTCCCCATTCATTACTGAAGCATCTCCCTCCACTGTCCCATCTAATGTTAAATTCGAGCCGAATCCGGCATTTGTAAGGGGGTCATCCTCTAAAACTAAACAGACAAACTTTAGTCTTAAAAATAACTTTCGAGTATAAATAATTTACCTTTAATAGCTTCACGTACTGCTTCTAGTGCCGTCCCACCATTATTGAGAGTTTGCATACCCTTTCTACAAGCTTTTTTGCTTAAAATTAGATATTCTTTGTGCTTGGACCTGCTATAATGACCAGCCCCTGAAAAGTTATTTTTCTTCATTTTTTAGGCATTAACAGCTAATAATAATTATCACTTACCACAGTGTACAGCAATCATTATTGACACGAAATATGAAGGTAAAAGAAGAAAAATAATAGGCAGGTATTTCAAAAGAAAGCTTAGGAAAAGTAAACCACAGAACAACAAACCAGAAACATTCTAATTTAACCTAGTTTTAAAAAAATGTTATTTTGATTGATTATCAAAACAATAGTGAAGTTAGGACTGAGACGAAAAAAAGAAGATGTGGTTTTCTTTTGACCTACCCACCTTGCGTTCGGTATTTTGCTGAAAGCGTGCTGAGCGGAGCCGTAATCACGTGACCAGCGAGCGAACAGACCAGTTGAACGCTGTATCGTATCAGAGTGCCAGAAATTTTAATAAACTATCCCGAATGAGCCTGCACTGAGTACACTTTTCAGATAAACGAACGGTAAATTCAAGCTCGGAGAACTCAGATCAAAATACTGAACGCACGGCCAGGCTCCATAGGCGTCTCAAATGTTTCAAAACATTTTTCAAAACTGGTTCAAGAGTGTGCGTTGAATGGTCGAAGCCATGACGTCATAATTTCTCGGCGCGTGAAAATGGTTTGAAAACGTGGATTGGATTGTATTTCGAAACGGTTTGAACCAATTTTGACGTGACGTCATGGGCTTATCGCAAGAATGTACTGTTTCAAAAAAGTGGACGCGAGAAAACACCTCATATATTTACTGCCGCGAATCGAGATCTGCTTGGAAGTGGAGCAGGGCCGGTATTCTGGTTCTCAAAAACGCTCACCGCTTTTTAGTCGCTTGTCACTTTTAATGTAAATTTACATTAGAAGTGCCGAGCGACTAAAAAGCGGTGAGCGTTTTCGAGAACGAGAATACCGGCCCAGGTCTAGCAAGCAGATACAAGGCCAAGGTTATTTGAGAGAGGTAGGTTGCCTGATAACTTTATGACGTCATCTGGGGTGCCTCAACATAATGCAAATCTCCATAAGGCACCCCAGACGCGTCATCAAATTACCCATTACCAGGCAACCTATTAACTTTAAATATAGGAACCTTGATAGAAGGCATGATTTTATAATTCAAAATGAAGACAGATTCGTTAGAATGTTTTTAATTAAGGCTTCACTTAGGCAAAAAGCTATCTAGTCACAGACCGCGAAACGAAACTTCAAGATAAGCTAGACAATTGCTACATGCATTAAAAAGCTTAATGAAACACAAAACTACACTAAAATAAATTGTTTTAACGCTGCATTAAATAATTTTAGTCAAAAATGCATCAAATCAGTGCTCAAGAAAAACCAAACTACGGCGTCAATATAGTTATTTTCCTAACAAGTGCGCAAAGTGTTACTTTTCCGCACGCAAACACAGTTAACGTGTTTGCGTGCGGAAAAGACACTTTGCGCACGTGTTGGGAAAAAAAAATTTCCTACGAGCTTCATATCAGGTAGGTAATAACAAAAATTAAAAAAAAAAAAAACGATAATTTGTTTAATTATTTTTAATTAACTTGAAGGGAACCTATGCATTTATCAAAAAATTACATAACAAAAAAAAATAACAGAAAATCCTCGTCAGAGCTGTTCATCTTAAAGCGTTTAAATTCGATGAGAAAGTTTGTAGATTTTTGCATATAAATAGAGAACAAATCTGATGTGTCAAAGTTAATTTATAATTGGTGTTTGTATAGATGTTGGCTGATATAAGTTGTATTCCTTTCAAGAGTTTGAAACACTCGAGCTACTCGCTCCGGTGCTCAGTCGCCCCAGATTTGCAGGGAACAGATGCGTGGTGCAACAAACACTTTTCGAAAGGAATAGGGACGTAAAGCCCCGGAGCTGTTCCGGAGCTCCTCCTAGGTGTGAAAGGAATACAACTATAGAAATAGAGGAAAAATTTGTCATCGTGTCAAAGTCGACAGGTGCACTTATTAGCTGTATTCCTTTCAAGAGTTTCAAACACTTGAGCTACTCGCTCCGGTGTTTAGTCGCCCCCGATTTTCAGGGAACAGATGCGTGGTGTAGCAAACACTTTTCGAAAGGAATAAGTGCGTGAAGCCCCGGAGCTGTTCCGGAGCTCCTCCTAGGTGTGAAAGGAATACAACTATTGTTGCTTGACAATTATAATTACTTTTCGGCACTCAGTGCGGATAAGGCCTGTATCCGCACTGAGTGCGGAAAAGTGTAACTTTGAGCCCGGAAATGCGTGCGGAAAATACTACTTTGCGCACGCTCGTAGGAAATTGTTATTTATACGTGTTCGCGTGCGGAAAAGACACTTTGCGCACGTGTTAGCAACAAAATTTTTCCTACGAGCTTCATATCAGGTAGGTAATAACAAAAATTAAAAAAAAATCACGATAATTTGTTTACCTACGAGCGTGCGGTAAAGTGCACTTTACCGCACGTTTTTGAAAATGGAAAGTATCACTTTACCGCACACTATGCGGTAAAGTTAACTTTACAGCATAGTGCGCGGTAAAGTTAACTTTAAAGCATAGTATGCGGTAAAGTGCACTTTACCGAACACTTTGTAGTCCACTTTACCGCATAGTGTGCGGTAAAGTAGAATTTGATATTTATAATCAAAATTCCTTTCTTTTTCAGAAAATGGATTTTTAATCCTTTCTAAATTTAATCTTATTCCATTAATTAATCTGATTCATTAATTTATTTTATCAATGCTTTTTTTGGAGGTGTAGATGCTCATAGGTAAAATTTTGTACCTAACACATGCGGAAAGTGCCTTTACCGCCCTTAACGGCTTGACCGAACTCCGCTCGCGTCGTTCGGTCAACTGCCGTTGCGTGCGGTAAGGTATCACTTTCCGCATTTGTTAGGTAAATAACTATTAATTATTTTTAATTAACTTGAAGGGAACCTATGCATTTATCAAAAAATTACATAACAAAAAAAAATAACAGAAAATCCTCGTCAGAGCTGTTCATCTTGAAGCGTTTAAATTGGATGAGAAAGTTTGTACATTTTTGCATATAAATAGAGAACAAATCTGATGCGTCAAAGTTAATTTATAATAGACCTATCTATTTTACCAGACAAAGAGGTAATAATACGAAAACTTTATTAGATAGAAAAAGACGCAGAACACTTATTGCGCAAGACGAGGCAAAACGTACCAAATTATGTTAGACTCACGTATAGCAATCCGTTCTTATTATTTGCACGGGATAAAAAAGGAAGGAGGAGAACCGCGTGATGTGCAATGTATTTGTCAACCAAAAACACAAACATGAAAATCGATCACTTGCCAAGCTAAGTCAAGTTGAATATCAAGCATAATTTTATCCTTGTCAGACCATGGGCAATGAACAAGGACAAGGAGATACCCAGCGTGCAAAAGGATTACTTCACACCTGTACTAGTTAGCCAATAAAAATGCATTGCCTCGTGTTGCACGCGCATACAGGTAAAAATAGATAGGTCTATGGAGCTTTCTCATTTTACCTGTGCTGCGCGCGCATCTTGTGGGTGACAGATAATTAAATCGTTAATTTACTGTACACGGTCTGACCCTGACGTATTTAAGTTAACCTCAATAATCAATCAGTATCAACACAGCCTCCTATAGTTAAATTTAGGAGGCTGTGGTATCAATCAATATTGCTGAAAATTATTACAAAAACTGTTTATGATACAATGGTTCAAATGAGTTCTTGTCAGAATTAGGCGAAAAAGAAGTGAAACCTTTCTTTTCACAAGTTCCCAAGCAATCAAATTGTAAGAAAACAATAGTTACGTGCTCTCAACCCGAATGAAGACGATTTAGGTTGGGACAGAGATTTGTGGGTTCGTAAAATAACGATTTTTATATCAAATACAATAATAATGTACAATTAAAGGTTTGCTGCAAACATTTCTGCTGCGGTGGGTTTTCTTTCTAATTAATGTTAATACGTATTTTGTCATATTTACGTTTGAAAATAAACAAAAACAGAAACATAACCGAAATTGCACAATTTGACAAGTGGAACCAATCAAAGTCATTCCACACAGGTATCGCGCGTCATTATATGTGTCTCTTTCTCTATTGCAGAAATCTTAATAAACTATCCTTGTTGTTCATTGCATGAGAAAGGTCCATTGGTGTTTGTATAGATGTTGGCTGATGCTGATATAGAAATAGAGGAAAAATTTGTCATCATGTGTCAAAGTCGACAGGTGCACTTATTAGAGAGTTATTGGATGTGCAATAAGGACAAACAGTGTATTTAAATTAGCCTTATTTTGACATCTACGCATGCGCATTTGGGTCCGAAAATAGAAAAAATTCTCTTAATAAGGTTACTGTTACTGCTTGTCTTTAATTTGTGTATGGTTAGTGCGAGGCAGTAAACTTACCTTATTTCAAATTTCTGACATTTTGGACGACATTGACGTTTTGCTTTTCGACGATGACGTAATTTTACTTAGAATTTTTTTTTTTTACAATAATTTTCCATTTTACTGTGGGTAACATTGAAAAAATAGTATCAGCAGAAAATCATAAACTGCAAATAAACTGTTTTTTTCTTGGAAAAATAGTGCTGATGCACTACAGTGGCGGCTCTTCCTTAGGTTTGCAGGTTTGCGCAACCCCCAAAACAAAAATAGTGGAACTAAATTTTAGTACCTAATTCTATTTAAAAAATAAATTATACCAAAATTTGGGACCTACTTATACGCAGTCAATTATTTAAATAATAAATAATTTGACCACCTTCGCCAAAATATCAACAACTAACACGCCCACCTTGCGCGCCACCGCCGGCGGCTTCGAGTAGCGGCGTCGAGTCGCTGGATTGCAGCTCCAAAGCACACCGTTCTACTATATGACGGCGCACGTTTGGTTGCCTGTCTATGCGTGGATTCCAAATCCGCTCCATAGGCTCATGCAGGTTGCAAGCGACGTGCAAACTTTGTTCATTTTTTTTTGCTCGCAGCGCAGATTAGGTTTGTTTTATGAAGTTTTGTCGTGTGGTGTGGTGGGTGGAAAAAAAATGAATTCTGTTCAAAATTTAATTGCCGAACCATTCTGTGGTCGTTCATCAACCGATAAGGCTGAAATAAAAAGACTTGGAAGGCCTACTCCAAATTTAAAAATCGAACAAACTGTAACCAGCAAAAAAAGGACTTTCACCAGAACATTTAATCCAGACCTTTACGAAAAATATGCATGGCTTTGTGGCTGTGAAATTAAAAATGCTCTCTTCTGTTTCCCTTGTTTGCTATTTGGAGGCGAAGTTTCCTGGACAAAAACTGGGTTTACCGATTTAAATCATTCAGGAGACCGCATTAAAAAGCATACGTCGTCAGCGAAGCACATGAAAAATGTTTTACAATTATCACTTTTTGGAACCGTAAACATAGCTGCTCAATTAAGTACCGCCTATCGACGAAATATTGAATTGCACAATGAACAAGTGAGACATAATCGATACATTTTAAACATTATAATAAATTGTGTGCGTTTCTGTGGAGCTTTCGAACTCGCGTTAAGAGGACACGACGAGTCTACGTCTTCCCCTAATCCTGGAGTTTTTCGAGGACTAATTGATTTCAGTGCTGAGTTAGACGGTGCTTTGAAACAACATCTAGAAAAGGCATCGGTATTTAAAGGTACGTCGAAAACCATCCAAAACGAAATTTTACAAACAATGTTTAACGTATGCCAAGAGGAAATTTCCAAAGAGATCGAGCAAGCCGATTATTTGTCTATAATAGCTGATGAAACTAGTGACGTATCAACTATATTCCAAATGGTAGTTGTTTTCAGATACATTGTAAAAGGCAAGCCAGTTGAACGATTTTGGGATTTTCTAATGCCTTCAGATCATGACGCCAAAACATTGTCTTTGGTTATTCTCGGAGAAATTGAGAAGCACGTAAAAGATAACAAAAGCAAACTTATTGCGCAAACGTATGATGGTGCATCAGTTATGAGCGGGTCGTCTAACGGGGTGCAAGCAATTATTAAAAAAACCTATCAACACGCTGCCTACGTGCATTGTTATGCACATCAGTTAAATTTGGTGATGTTGAACGCTGCTTCTGCAAACAAGAATGTCCGAATTTTTTTTGCCAATTTACAAGGAATTTGTACTTTTTTTTCAACCAGTCCTCAGAGATCCTCAATACTAGACCAAATTGTTAAAAAACGATTACCACGTTCAGCCCCAACCAGATGGAATTTTAATTCCAGAGTTGTTTGTACCGTTTTTGAGTACAAAGACGCCATTTTGGAGACAATGGAAAAATGTTTAAATGAAACTAGAAACGTTAATACTACCAATCAAGCAGCAGGCTATGTTAAAATTCTTAAAAGCAAAAGTTTTGTCTTCTGGCTAAACTTATTTTACAAGATCATGCCGCATGTTGACTTGTTATTTGCCAAGTTTCAAACAGTACAAATTGACGCTGTTACCGCAACAAAATATATGTTATCTTTTGAATCTAAGTTGACGGAAATTAGAAATAGCATCACTTTGGACGAAGTTGAGCCATCTCCATCTACTTCAAGACGGCGTAACCTGGATGACTCTGCGGAATTTTATCGAGAAGCAAAAGAAGTTTGTGATATTATTATATGTCAAGCGAAAGAACGATTTAACTTCACAGGCCACTTAGTGGCTGCCAATCTTTTTCTTCCGGAACAATACAACCAATACAGTATCTGTTTTCCTGAACAGAAATTTAAAGAGGCAATAAAAAATTACCCATTTTTCATTGAGCAAAAACTCCGTACAGAATTGGCCGTTATTTACGATACGGAAGAATTTAAATCAATTTCCGGACTCCTTCCAATTTATGACTTTATTTCTCAAAATACCGAGCTAAGTGAAACTTTCAGTGAAACTCTAAAACTCTTAAAAATTTTAATTACAATTCCTATGGCGTCAGCTGAAGCAGAGCGGTGCTTCTCAACTCTCAAACGGATAAAAACGTTTTTAAGAAATACCATGAGCCAAGAAAGACTTTCTGCTTTGGCAATGCTGTCTAAAGAAAAGGACCTTATTGAAAGCATACCCGATTTCAATCAGCGGGTTATTGATAAGTTTGCTGCGGCTAAAGATCGGCGTATGGATTTTCTCTTTAAATAAGGCCAGGGTTATCCAATTCCTTAATAATTCTTAATTTTTGTTCTTAATTCTAAATCATTAAAAATACCAATGTTGAATACATTGAACTTTTTAAGAATTAAGGATTAAGGACAAATATAAGAAATTAAGGAATTGGGTAACTCCAACCTGAGTCTCAATATTAGGTGTTCATCTTGTGTAAATTAAGTAGCTTGATTAATAAAGTTGGTTATGTGAGTACCTATTCATCCTTATATGATAAATAATTTTTAATCAACTCCTCTTTGTATATAGATATTCGATCCCCCCCCCCTCCTATTTTTTTTTCCGGATTGTACCATTGAAATTGCAACCCCCACATTTTTATTATACGAGCCGCCACTGATGCACTAATAAAATGACGTATAGATCCTTAATACTGCGAGGCAGTATTTAATAGTTCCAATAACTCTCTATTGTTGCTTGACAATTATAATTACTTTTCGGCACTCAGTGCGGATAAGGCCTGTATCCGCACTGAGTGCGGAAAAGTGTAACTTTGAGCCCGGAAATGCGTGCGGAAAAGTACTACTTTGCGCACGCTCGTAGGAAATAGTTATTTTCCTAACAAGTGCGCAAAGTGATACTTTCCCGCACGAAAAAGCAGTTCGCGTCGTTCGGATAAGCTTTGAGTGCGGGAAAGACACTTTGCGCAAGTGTTAGGAACAATATTTTTTCTACGAGTGTTTGAAGATTTGCATCCCATCCAGAGGAGCTGAACCTAATTTTCGTAAATGTTTCCAGATGCTCAGAATTGGTAATATTCTCTTCTAGTTCATTGTATTGTGTTTTCAATTTTTTTTTTTTTAGTCGCCAGTTTGACTTTATTTGCAACATTGGTTGTGCTAGCGACGTTTACTTATAATTTGAACAAGTTTGTTTTTCCTGCCAAATTTTGGTATGGAGGAAGTATAACTTACAATCCAACTTTTATAATCTGATACTCCAAAGGAATATGAGTTGGTGGCTGTCCATGCCAATGGTCGCCTGACCTCTCATGTTTTTGTTGGATTTTTCCTCTACTCGCTTCTCATACGGAAAATGTCAAATTAAAAAAGCTAAACATTACCTGAATGCCTTTCTTGGAACAAAAATAATATCAGGCCCTTCCTTATGAATATAAGTTAATCCAGAAACCCACAAAACATTAAAAAATCGAGTATAAATGCGGTAACTATGCATAACAAAAATGAGTGCGCAAAGTTCAACTTTGCGCACGCAAATGAGTGTGCAAAGTAATAACTTTGCGCACGCGAGTAGAAAAAAGCAATAACGGACTTCATTTTTGAAACAAAAACTCACAAGGGTTCAACCTACCAGCCTACAGAGCGATTTTTCAAAAAAAAAAAAAAAATCCATTGCTCATATTTGCGTTCAAAAAAAGAGCAAAAAAAGGCGATTTTCAGCAATATTTTTCTACAATAAATATTTAATGTATTAAAAAACGCTTTTTAAGGCGACTGTCACAAAAAGATTAGTTTTACGGATTCAATATCATCCCTAAAGTATATCTTTTTTGGCCGCATTTACTTTACGGCCGCATTTACTTCACGGCCGCATTTGCTTTATTACTTTACGGCCGCTTTTACTTCACGGCCGCTTTTACTTTACGGCCGCTATATACTTTGGTGAAAATATATAAACAGACAATCGGAAACGCGGTCCGTAACTATAAACACAACCAATAAATAGTTAGCAACCACAATGGAACCAAATTTTTGATTTTAGCCCTATCCTATTACTTTTTCAAAAAAGCACAATATAGGATACCATGCGAAAAAGTCGGCAATTTTCTATAATCACACTTCCCTTATTGTAGTTTTTGTTACTAATAATTATGTATCTACCTATCTTTGCTGGATTATTTATCTAATCAATAAAAAGTTAAAGCTCCTGTTGAATTTTCGTCTTTTTTCAAGAAAAAACACTCGCCTAAAAAATTTTGTGTGCACCTCGGCCGAATGATCTTTTTTGGCCGAATCAGAAATTTGCGGCCGAGGCGTAGCCGAGGCCAAGCAAATTTTACGGCCTTGGTACACAATTGTAGGCTGGTTGTATATTCCTTCGTTTATATAAATTTAATTAGTTCATCTCGATATCTGGAGCAGTTTTTTTGTAGTTTGGTTTTTACGAGACGCTTACAATACCTCACGTGTTGTGGCCCCTTAAATTTATCACATCCATTACCTACTTGTACCTACTATGGTTCTTCTTAAGCGTTCTTTAAGGGAAATCTTTCAAGAATAAAAATACATTTTAAATTCAAAAAGGATTTATTGTTTATAAATTATTATCACTGCTCACTAAATAATGAAAAAAAAAACGACCAATAATAAATCCATTAAATGTGTACTTGAACTACAAAAAAAATCAGTGCAAATAATATTGGGCAAGTATTATAATACAAAATACCTAAATAAATTAAATTCTTATCTAATGAGAAACGTATTGAGCAAATTACAAGGCAAATTAAGTACCTAGCAAAAATTTGATAAATATTATCACTTATTCAAAAAGGGATCAAGTACATCTTCTTTGTTATTTATTCTTCAATTTCATTTGCATCATTTCCTGCCAAGAAGTACTCTCCACCTTAACATTAGCATTTGAGCAATTGACAAGCACAGTATTGTCATCGGAAGCCTCAGGTCGGAGTACTACTAAATTTTCGTTCTTGTTGATTTCAGATTTTACAGCATCAGGGAAAGATACATTTGGGGAGGTTATTCTAAATGTAGTAAAATCTTGGCAAGACTCTGCCAATTTCAAAATTAAATCGCCACTATCCTTAAGAGTAATATCAGAGTTTCCATGAATACGAGACAGATGGACATCGGCGGAGCCGGAATTGAGGAGTGCAGATAGCTGACCATCAAAACTATCTAAAAAAATTATAAACTTACAACATGACTATTGCGTTTAATTTTTTTTTTTTTGCATCAGATGCAAAAAATAAAATGAAACAGAGTGGGACATAAAGTCTTTCGATTTTAATCTGATACTCCAAAGGAATGTGAGCTGGTGGCTCACTAAATTAGAATGCCAATGGTCATCTGACGTCACACCTGTTTTTGCCATAAGCTACACACCTGCGCTCCTCATACGGAAACAGTGGCGACGCCAGGGTTTTACATTAGGGGGGGCCAGGCTGGGCCAGAAAAAATTAGGGGGGGCACTTGTTCTTACTTTATTGCTTTTTCAAAGTTTATCCGTATATTTTTGCACTCCACCTGAACAGCTTAATTGAAATGTATCAAAAAGGTTTTTATTTGGATTTTGTATACAGGGTGTCCGTTTTTCGAGGACAACCATTGGAATATAGGAAACGGTAAGAGATACAAAATCGGAATCAATGGCCAAATGTGTTACTGCTTTTGGGAGATCAAGAAACTCCGAATACAATTCATAAAAATGCAAACCTCTATTTAATAGTTATTTATACACCAAGTGAGTTAAATGAGTGTTTATCCATGAGAAGAAAGTTTAACCCACGAGCCCTAGCAAGTGGGTTAATTTTCTTCGAATGAATAAACATTTTAACTCACGTGATGTATACAAAATTTTATCCCATTTTGTGGATATTTGAAAAATAAAGTACAAGGAAAAATACCCAGAGTGAGTTAAAAATATTTTAAATCACTGAGGTTTCAGATTTTAAGTTAGGCAGAGTGACTTAAAATGCCGAGAGTGAGTTAAAATGTTTTTAAATCACTGAGGTGATAAACGTCTACTTACCTTTATTGTTATGCGTTTAATAATGTCATTTTTAAACGTCAAAATGGGATAAAAAAATAAAGTTGATGATGATTGGCAAAAGACGAAATGTCGGATTTCAAATTTGGTTACACCATTATGTAGAGGGGAGAAAGTTGCCACAATAAAGTGAAGTTTATTTGAAATACCTTTACAAATGAGTCCAGGAAAATATAGGAATGATTTTACAAAATTTTGATTTCCATGTATCTCCGGAAGTATTCGGAATTTTCCAAATTTCGAAGTAGCGTTTTGTTGAGCAAGAAATTGCGCAATTTTGTCCCAATTTAACTGAACCTGTATCCCTTACCGTTTCCTATATTCCAATGATTGCTCTCAAAAAACGGACACCCTGTATAGGTAAATCTTCTTGATACCTATTCAATTAACCGTTCAGGGTCGGTTTCTCGATAGCTAGTCCAGGGTAAACGTGTCCAATTGTAATGTTTACCCTGGAGTTATGGTTAACTGCTCTGACCCGGGGGTGACTTGCTTGCTATTGAGAAACCGGCCTTCAGGTGAGGTGCCAAAAATACACAGGAAAACCCTGTACCTGCTGACACAAATATGTTTGGGGGAATCCCAGAAAAGCGAAAGCATAGTCGCGGTTGCCTGGCGCCCACCAAATATCAAATTAACCAGAGAGCAGAGGTTACTCATGTTGCATTGCATTGTTGTCGACATGAGGGCAAGTTTTCAGGGGGGGCCAGCTAAATTTAAGGGGGGGCCCCGGCCCCCCCTGGTCCCCCCCCTGGCGTCGCCACTGTACGGAAAGTGTCAGATTAAAAACTACGGACAATATATGCCGCAAGATCAAAATTATTGTCAGTGACTCATGCCATTGGCAACACTATATCAAATAAGCGGGATCGTAATAAAGTCAAAAATGTGTAAAGTGGCAATACTACAGCTTCACAAAACTTACACACAGGTGCTGTGGTGAGAGTCACTGACAATAATTTTGGTCACAGGGTGTAGGTGAACAATTTTTGACAAGACTTACTGAGCGATAGATTGCCTTTCATCAAAAATATTTTACAATTTCTGTGGATATTGCTTAGGTCCATGTCTCCTTTTTCCACAACAAAAATACTTTCTTCACAATAGGAAGAATCTACTGAAATACTCCCTTCCCCTGATACTTTTAATTTTAAATTCAATCCTTGAAGTTTTCCAGTTGAAATAGACTATAAAGATCAAACCATATTTCAGAACAAAGAATTGAATATTTTATGTAACATCTTACTCCATTAGATACAACAGCTGAAATATTGGCAGCTTCAATAAAATTATGAAAAACAACATTTCCATTGCTTGTTGTCACATCTATTGTATCCCCTTGAAATTTATCCACAAATACATTACTTTCTGTGTTAATATTAATTTTATCGCCTTGGAAATATCCCACAGTAACATCATTTTTCGCTTTTATATGCAAATCTAAAAAAAATATTTGCACAAAACTTATTTTTATATTTTCAAGGACTTACTGGCTTTAACGGGGGCCTTAATGCTACAAAGAGTATTTGGATTTAAACCTTTTTGACTGGTGACGATAACTTTGTTACCATCTAGGTAATGTTCGATCGCATTATCATATTTTTGGTCAGTTTGTAAGAGAAAAGCGTTTGCATTATGGTATTTATGTACATTTAATGGCCTAACGCGCACTTTGCAGCCGAGATCAATATGAATATCACAAAAAGTTGGAACTTCCAATTGCGTTTTAACAATGGAAAGATCCGAACATTTTCTGAAGATTTGAAAGATTCCCAACGGGATTTTTTTAAATAACCGTTGGGAAGTAATTAGGTGCTTTGGAATAATCCTAGAAAAATAATGTTTCTGTTGAAAATTTAATAGATTAGAGTATGTTTGCTTACATTTTTAGGTCACAAAAAAATTGGCATACGTGAGAACGTGTAAATAAAAAATAGATCCCAGTAGGAGTATGGACTACGTGACCACAAGCACAAATCAAAACAATTCACATTTTCACATAACCTCAATATTTGTTTGTAAGCAAACACGGTTAAGAAGCAAATCGAAAGAGGGCGCTTTTTTTCAATTTTTAAATTGTCTTAAGCCTAGTCCTCATAACTGCGAAATTCGCATTATTTTGACATTGCGTTGACAATTTGACGTTTTATGCGTGTATCAAACGTCAAATTGTCGAAACAATGTCAAAAAAATGCAAATTTCGCAGTTATGAGTACTAGGCATTAAGTACTATGGGCCCAATGGCCAATTGGCAATTCAGGCACACCCATAAAATCGCACTCGCACCCTGTGCGTTATTTCTGAACTCGGCCCAGTGCATAGCTGGTAGCTGGGTTCGGGACAAGATTCGGGATGGCCAAGCCGACGCCAAGCCGAGCCTGGAGTAGAGTTGGATTGCCGTGTTTATCACGTGACCTGGTCACTTTGGCCACGGTGACCAAAGTGCTTCTGGAGTAAATTAGTTAAACCGAACGACCAGGGTGCTTCTGGAGTTTAATCAAAAACGCTAACTTAGGTCAGAAAATGGTCTCTTCTCTGATCGTAAGCATCTTGTATTCTCGGGTAACTGGAGTACTCTGGAGTTATTCGGAACAAGTAAGTGGAGTGGTGGAGTCACGACGAGCGTTCACTGTTCAGAGTTCAGACAGTTCACTAGCGGCAGCCGCAGTCTTCTTTTTTTAAGTAGTGCGACACTGCGACATTTCACTGGTGCCACAGGTGCCACCAATGAACTATAACCAGGGGCGGACCCATGGGGGGGCAGGGGGGGGCAACGCCCCCCCCCCAATGTCCACTCCAGTTGGTAAAAAAATGTCTAGTTGGTTTCCAATCCTCACGCCAGTTGGTAAGACCCCCAATGTCCACTCCAGTTGGTAAAAAAAATATCTAGTTGGTTTCTAATCCACACGCCAGTTGGTAAGAGAAAACGGCAGTGTTAATACTTCTAAAATTGACTTAAACACGTTCTAAAAAAAGGAATTTTATAAAGTTTTAGATTCCCTAATAAGTTTTTTAAACGATAATTTAACTACTATTTTCAAAATTCTGCGCGGATTCACCTGTTTATTCTCATTGGGTACATTCAGGCGTTCCCAGCGGCTAAGCTCAGCCACTCAGCAGGGACTTTATTCTTGAAACCGAGGAACAGCGTTCTCATGAGAACGATTGCTCTGTCATTGTCAGTGTTTAGGAAATTTGGATACGGACGATGAACATAGAACCTTCGTTCTCATGAAAACGCTGCTTCCCTGTTTCGATAATAAAGTCCATGCTGAGTGGCTGAACTTAGCCACTGGCACCGCCTGAATGTACCCATTTCCTCTCTCTAGCTAGACCTAATGAACATACATACCTATCTATGACAAATGTCAATTTAGTACTTAATTTATACAGGGTGTTTGGTAGGTCGATGCAAATATTTTGAGATGCGATAGAGTAAGTCATTTAGAACCTATTTAGTCAAACTTACCTTAGTACCAAGTCTTATGGTTTTCAAAATATGGTCGATTTTATTTTTTCTTAATCAACTCCTTCGTTCGGTGCTTCAATGCAATATTAGGCAACAACATCACAAATTATCACACAAATAAGCCAGACGTTAACAAACTGTTCACTTATTTCAGTTTAAAAGTGATAATTTTGTTTTTAAAGAGAAGAAAAAAAAGGCTAGGTCCAGGTTTTTCCGTAAATACCTACTTATTTTTGGGAATCTGTAGTCTTAATTAATGATTTTTGTGCTGCAATCCAAAAAAAAAATTGTAATTTTTTCGTGATATGTGCAATTCGAAAAGGCACATGTGAAAATACTTATTTTCCTAACAGGTGCGTAGTTTTCCTTGTACTTTATTTTTTAAATTTTCACAAAATGGGATAAAATTTTGTATACATCACCTGAGTTAAAATGTTTATTCGTTCATTAACCCACTCGCTGGGGCTCGTGGGTTAACCTTTTTTCTGATAAATAAACATTTATTTAACTCTCTTGGTGTACCTATAAATAACTATATGAAAACGTTGGTTGTCTTTATCGTATTTTTTTTCAAAAAAAAGCTTAACTTGCAATGGAATTAGCACTCTTAGTATTAATTTTTTATGTATTTTATTGTTATTGCATTTGACCCAAGAAATACACATTCTATTAAGATACAAAACAAAAATAATCGAGAAAGTATTTCTCAATATCGCATTAAAGCACTCAATGAAGGATTTCTGAGATTTTTTTAGGAAAAAATTTAATCGGCCATATTTTGAAAACCATAGGACTTGGTACTAAAGTAAGTTTGACTAAATAGGTTCGAAATGATTTACTCTTTCAGCTCCAAAATATATGCATCGACCTACCAAACATCCTGTATATATCCTCAAAATTTTAGACCAGCTGCATACGCTCTTGCAACAGAGATTGAAATTCTCTTTGACCTATGTAATAAACATACCAAAACTATTGATAATATCCAACAAGTAGTAAAAGTAGCATTAAAAAATATAAATTGACTCAAGAAAGCATTTCAAGTATGCCAACTCTACTTTACTGCAGGATATTCAAGGTGAGTTCGACTTGGCAACTGTTTTGACTCCTTTGACACTTTTTACTGCAAAATCGTTCGGGTCAGGCCACTGGGAGCAAATAGTGCAAGCTTCTCATCGTTCGGGTACAGCCAAGTAAAGTGAAAAGAGATAACTCCAGAAGCACCACCTCGAGAGATGAAGTTCGAGGAGCGGGCATGCGCATTTCCTTTATTTCCAAAAGGCGGTAAAATTTAAGTTTTTAATAATTCACTATGCTAACGATCCTACCGAAAAGAATTCAAAGAAGATATTTTATGCTTAGGGCTTGGTCACCTCCTGGGGTCCTGGTCGAAAAAATGGCATCGCTCCCCCTAAATATCCGCAAAAACACATGTTCGGTTTGTGATGGGGATAAGCGCCCGCGGCTCGCCTTGCTTCTGATCCGTTCGACTAAATCACTTTACTCTTTTCACTCTGTGATCACGTGGCTATGGAACAGCTCTCTAACTGTTTTAACTCCGTCTTGCCAAGCCGAAATCACCTTGAGTAGCAACCAATGAGCGAAAATTCAGCTAAGTAAAATTCGTAAAAAATCACTCACGTACAACTATGGGAGAAGAAAGACTAGTGGCCGTTTCACCAACTATTTTAGGGGAGCCTTAACGATAAGCATTCCTTAAAATGACAGTCTTCCATGTAGAAATGTCAGTTTGAGGAATACTTAACCTTAGGGCTCCCCCAAATTAGTTGGTGGAAACGGCCAAGATCACCTAATGTCCCTCAAAAGTGAGAAGGACTTGGCCGACTCTATGGACTATATAAAAAATAGAAAAATACGTATGGCCACGGAAGAAAAATAAGTTAGGTACCTAGTAGAGCTTCAATCTGAATGGAATTTGTTACTGCATCTACATATTTAAATATAACATTCCTACTAATCTAATTTTTTTTTAAATCGATATCGGCAAATTAATCATAAGTTAATTATACGTTTTCTGTTTTTTATGCATTCTATAAAAGTTGATGAATTACCTACAAATAAATTACCTACCCCAAACTTTTTTTTGTGCTTTTTTAAAGTGAAAGTGAGTTGGGAGTTGGCTCATTATGACGTAACGGCCCCCCCCAATACCAAAGCCTTCGGAACGCCCCTGACTATAACCAAAAACTGGAATGCTAACACATAAGGAAGAACGTGAAGCCTAGTGCAGCTGCTGCGGAGGGAATACCTGTTTTTGTCGCACTCATTATGTTAAATGGCGAAAATTGCTTCCAACACGTAATCCAATTGATGAAACCTGTGAAGGAAAATATGACAACACTTTCGAAAACGTCATATGTCAGCGAGCAACAGAAAAAAACAACATTCCCCCTTGTGCATCTGTCTTTCATGGCTTCATTTTTTGGGCAGATATGCCGTGCGTTCGTTATTTTGGTCTGTGTTCTCCGAGCTTGACTTTATCGTTCGTTTATTTAAAAAGTGTACTCGGTGCAGCCTCATTCGCGTTCGTTTATTAAAATATCTGGCATTTTTATACAGCGTTCAACTGCTCTGTTCGCTCGCTGGTCATGTGATTACGGCTCCGCTCAGCACGCTCTACTCTCTGAGCAAAATACCGAACGCAAGGATGGCAATGTGCGCGCATTCCAGTTTTTGGCTATAGTTCATTGGGTGCCTCCAGTGGGTGCCACATGGTTATAAATTGACAATTGACAACTTGCTTGACTTCATAAATCATAATAAACCAAACCAAACCCTAACCCAACTTTTATGAATTAAAACATGTTTTGTTTCTTAAATTTTTATTTTTAATCAAAGTGAGAATATGATCAGATAATAATTTATAATAGGATTTTCTATTTCAAATTAGTTTTCAGAAAAGAATATAATTTTCGGTCATCATCAAATTGACGGTATGGTGGACACTCGGGTAGACATACCGGGATTTGCAGACCCCAATAACGCTGAAGAAATTGATGAGGAAGATGAGACGTTATCGAAAAAGAAGTCTGGCAAGAAAACTGGTGGCTTCCAATCCATGAATTTGAGCTTCAATATACTGAAAGGCATCACCAAGAGAGGCTACAAGCAACCAACGCCTATACAGAGAAAGGTATACCTCTCCTTCCGATACTGTTAATTTTATAATTTTTTTAATTATATGTACAGGGTGGTCCAAATTGAACACTTTCTTATGGAAACACCCTTTATTTTTAGAAATAGAAAAAAATGGATCCCCCACTCTGAGGCTCAAATTTCATGAAATTTTGATTGGTGCAAACCGCATTTTGATATCTTCAACCGTTTAGGCGCTAGAGGGCGATTCTCGACTTTGAGCAATACTGTAAAACCTCCATAACTTTTTTGTTTATGGAAATAATTTATTTCCGTAAAGACCTTTTGAAAGCACTTTTTCAAGCAGAATTCAGTGACGTTCTCAGTTTTTTTCTGTCTGGCTTTGATTTCGAGATATTGACCAAAATCCGATTTTTTTCAATAGGACACTCTATACAGGGTGTCCCACGGTGGATGGCGTATTAGACGTTTATGGAGAACTAAAAAGCGGATCATTTTGAAAATTTGGCAACTGGGATAAACAACCATGATCTACACTTTAAAAATATTTTTGACCATGCGGCGTTGCCGCTTCTACTCTAAACTAGTGGCAACATCACATAAATGGAACACCCCGTATTAAATTGCATATTTGGATTCTACGTAAAATTCTGAGCAGATTTCATGTGATATACCCATCTTCAACTGTTTCGGAAATATTGACAGTTGAAAATTGACTTTTTGCAACTTTGACAGGCTGTAAAACCTAATTGGTTAATTTTAGAGGAAAACCGATTTCACATTCCTATCTTAGATTTTGATAAACTATCATTTGACACCAACTTTGAACTTAACCGGAGATTAAATTTAACTGAAATTTTTAATCATGGATTTAATTCAAAGATGGTGTCAAATGATAGTTTATAAAAATCTAAGATAGGAATGTAAAATCGGTTTTCCTCTAAAATTAACCGTTCAGGTTCTACAGCCTGTCAAAGTTGCAAAATGTCAATTTTCAACTGTCAATATTTCCAAAACAGTTGAACTTAGGTATAGGGTATATCACCTGAAATCTGCTCAGAATTTTACGTAGAATCCAAATATGCAATTTAATACGGGGTGTTCCATTTAAAATAGTGATGTTGCCACTAGTTTAGAGTAGAAGCGTCAACACCGCATGGTCAAAAATATTTTTAAAGTGTAGATCATGGTCGTTTATTCCGGTTGCCAAATTTTCAAAAAGATCCGCTTTTTAGTTCTCCATAAACGTCTAATACGCCATCCACCGTGGGACACCCTGTATATTAATAGTTCATTAGAAAGCTATGCTTTCGCTGATTTTAATGATACAAGTTTGATAGGTTTATCTTTAACAGTTTTCGAGAAAAAAAATTATTTCGCTTTTTGTCATAAGAAACAATGTGTAAGAGAGAGACCTTTCTCAGTTTCCTTACAGAGATAAAGTTCTTTTCCAACACATTGTTTCTTATGACAAAAACCGAAATAATTTTTTTTCTCGAAAACTGTTAGAGATAAACCTATCAAACCTGGTATCATTAAAATCAGCGAAAGCATAGCTTTCTAATGAACTATTAATATATAGAGTGTTCTATTGAAAAAAATCGGATTTTGGTCAATATCTCAAAATCGAAGCCAGACAGAAAAAAACTGAGAATGTCACTGAATTCTGCTTGAAAAAGTGCTTCCAAAAGGTCTTTACGGAAATGAATTATTTTCATAAACAAGAAAGTTATGGAGGCTTTACAGTATTGCTCAAAATCGAGAATCGCCCTCTAGCGGCTAAACGGTTGAAGATATCAAAATGCGGTTTGCACCAATCAAGATTTCATGAAATTTGAGCTTCAGAGTGGGGGCCCATTTTTTTCTATCTCTAAAAATAAAGGGTGTTTCCATAAGAAAGTGTCCAATTTGGCCCACCCTGTACAGTGGAAATCATTGCAATTGGCACACACTATGTAAATATCCCTCGTAATGTGTCAAATCTGACACACAGTAATAGCAAAATTCTGCACTAAATAGATATATTGGTTAGAATTTTGACTTAATACAGGGGATTTTAAAGAGTGTGTGCCAATTCACCATATTAGTTAGGTTAGGAAAAATCGGGCGCGAAATTTAAAATGGGTTCCTAAACACATTCCAACAAATTTGACAGCAAGGTATTTCTTATGGGGGATTCAAAAGAGTGATTTTCAGACGGGAATATCTTGGGTTCTGGGCATTTCTTATGGCGTTTCCGATTGGTAGATTCAGTGCGCACTGAGTGTATGTGCATCCTTTTAATTGACCCGTAGAAGAAAAAGAGAGGAATAGAAAAAATTTCACTAGTTCCGCACTAGATCTACCAATCGGAAACGCCATTAGTATTTGAACCTATTATACGTCACACTTTGAACATATTTCTCTATGGTTCATGCTCTAATTGTTTTCTTAGACCTATGAATTAAAAATACAAATGATTTTAATTAAAAGTGTCTGTTTTCGGTGGACCTACGTCGAGTCTAAAACCAGCTGTAAGAAAGTGAGGTTGTGTGTTGTGTTATGATTGTTGGTGAATTAGGGAATCCAAACCACGTGACTTTTGCCAACCAGCCCGCATTTTGAAATTTTTGTGAGGTTAGAATACGGGTTGTTAAATGTCAACGATGTCGGAAAAGTGTCAGATTTGAGTACTCGCTCCATTGTATTGATAAAGCCTTGTACTCATAATCGCGAAATTCGCTCTTTTTTTGACATTGCTTTGACAATTTGACGTTTGATTCACGCATAAAACGTCAAATTGTCGAAGCAATGTCAAAAAAGGGCGAATTTCGCTGTTATGGGTACTAGGCTTAATCCTGCCAAAAAAAACCATATGTTTTTTGTTTATTGTTTGCCAACCAGACGCCATTTGGACAGGTCGTTAGATTGCCTAATTGTTTATTTATTTATTTATCATTAGTTCAGTCATTTGTTTTTCCATTTTTTTGGATTATTGAAGTACATCTACTAACCAAGTATGTAGGTACACTTTTATTTTATTATAATTATAGGTACCCATATATACTTGTGGATCAAGCAACGACGTACGTATTTTATACAAACATCGGCTTCTTAAATTGGTAATATTTTTATTTTAACAATGTTTATTCAACTTTCAAGCACTCTCTCACATATTAAAAAAACTATTTATACAACTCACTTCCCTAACAAACGTTCTATCACGTCTACAGACGCTTTTAAAATTGAGTTCCCATAAGACATCAATGTATTAATTTTTAAACTAGGAACCCGCGCCAATTTGCGATTCTAACCTAACTAATATGATCAATTGCAATGATTCCGACTGTACCTACTGTGATTAGCTAGCAATAATCAATTCTATATTATTTTTCTGCGATTGACAAGAAATGTCAGCATTTTTGACCGGTTTACAGGTCGCAAAACTCAATATTCTGGTATTTTAATTATGTTTCAATAGTTGCTAAGGAATCAATGAATAACAATACGGGAAAGACTTTTCCGGCCTAGGCCGGGAAAGTGATTCTTGTACTGCTGAATAATTTGAACAAAAAGACAAACATTTAACAGATATTTAACCGATCGCAGAAAAAATAGTATGTGTATTTCGGTGAAAAAGCACATTCTCGGCCTTCGGTGTTTGCCGGCCTCGGCTACGCCTCGCCCGTCAACTTACACCGTCGGCCGAGAATGTGCCACTTTTCCACCTAAATACACAATATACTATTCTATGACACATTATATTAAGTTTTCTGAATTGGTAAAACTTAGTTTTGAACTCAACATGGGTGAAAATGGTGTCTGGCTTTAATGCAGTTGATTGCTAGATAAATTGACGAGCGAATTGGGCTCATTGGTGGGTATTGGGTACTCCGCTGAACATTCTATTCCTCATCCTATGCAATATGCACTATTCATTAACCAAAAAGAGCAACTGGGGAATAAATGGATAAATTTAATTTGAATTCTAAAACTTCCCAATCCAATATTGGAAAGATCTACATTCAATTTGTTTATCACAGCATTTGCCAGTCTTAAAAATCTAGTCATAGAAGAATAATTGTACCTCGAATTGTACCCATAGTTAGTACAATAATACCGAGCATAATACCCCACATAATACTGTACATAAAATAATCTATTGTTTCTTATCTGACTTGTCCACATCAAAATAATGATGAAGACCCACCAACAGGGTTTCTGATTTTGTAAACATTCTTGGTTGCTCAGATAGTTTCCCAATCTAAAAACTGGCGAGGTTTTGTTGCTTTACAACCTTAAGTATACCTTTTTCTGAAGCCTCTTTTAGAATCTCCCAAGCTGAAAGTAAATGTAAAGCTGACTGTGGGTTGAGATGAATATTCGTTGGTTGTTTTGCCAGTAAATCTGGCAATGGGTGAGCTTCTTGATGAATCTCCATCTCTCACAAAAATGTAATATCTGCTTTCATCAAGATCCAAATCCTCAACTTCCAATGTAATAATACAACCATTTTGGGCATGAATTATGTAAAGACACTCTAATCCTCCTGAGTATTGTTCAGGATAGCCAGATGTGGCATTGTGACGTAGCTCGTAGAGTGCCCCCACAAACCTTCCTTTTCTACAGAAGCGTCGGTACTGAATTTGACAATCATAAAATTTGAGGTGATACAAAAGAACTGTTGGTTAAATCTTGTTTTCCAGATAGGGTTGCTAAGTTTACTGAGGTGTCTTCTGTCCTGCCTCCAATAATTGAAATTTGTACTGTGTCAAAAGTTTTCTCGGTCTCAAAGTCTTGAAATTACAAAAGAATGTTATGTCCTTGAGGTCCTTCCAAAATCCATTTGTAGTTGGTCATGGAGGCATATTCATGTGGATAGTAAGTACGGACTTCCAAAAATATCTCCCTTGTTTGTTAAGTAGAAGTTGCGATTTTGTGTACAATCAATTTTGTCACTATTATTGTCACAAATATTTTGTTTATCACTTTTGAACTTTTCAATGATACAGTTTGTCAGTAGAACAATGAATGGAACCCCTTGGACAAGCCTGAATC